GGGGCTGTCCCCTGGGCTGCCGTGGCTCCTCCAGGTGGGGCAGGGGCCGTGCCCTGGGCAGTCCCTGCTCCTGCTACTGCTGGGTGCCCGCGCGCAGCTCCGCCAGCTCCCGCTCGCTCTCCGCGTCCTGCAGGGGCACAGCAGGTGAGACCCCGAGACCACTGCAGGGAGAACCCCCTGCCCTGCTCCCACCCACCCACGTTTTACCTACACCCCCAGCCTTGTATTTATCCCCCTACAGCTTTTATTCTCCCCCCGTGCTTCCCTCTCAACACTACTGCCTCGGAAGCCTACTGGAGTCTTCCGAATACCAGAGAGTTTCTTTTGTTTCCTTTTAAGAGACAAGAAGTGACAACCAAACCAGCAGAACTCAAACCTCTGCTTTCCCCCCACCCCCCAACTTTCAAGGTCTGGATAAATGCCTTTGCTTTTCCTTCTCAGCATGATGGACATTATTTGACTGATGTGCAAAGACTTAAAGCCTCTTAAGCACTGGCTTCCCTGCTCGCCTCCCACTCCGAATTTCAGAGCAGGAGAGAGCATTGTCTGTTCGTGGCTCTTCCCTCTGCAGCTCTCCTCTGATCCTTCCTGAAAATCTCAGCACTTCTCCAACTAAACTCTAATGCCTCCAACACACACATTCCTTGTTCTTTTGGAAAAACCCTCTTTCTACTCATCAGACAACCATTCTAACTCTATTAGAGAGATTTCTAATGGCATGTGGTGAGGCAGCTCCTCACCAGGCAAAGCCAGGGTATTATTCCCTTTGTGTAGGGGGAAATATCCTGCTCCATGCCCTGGTTCCCCCAGACCTGGCAGCAGCCAGGGCCAGGTGGATTCTGCACTCCTGGCCTCTGCCCTGCAGGTGGTAGCACAGGCAAGCAGCTCCTTGCCAAGGTTGCCAGGATCTCTTGCATACCTGTGGTTTGAATTTCAGCACAAAACTTTTGCTACAGTAATCTAAAAACTCATTACAGCCTTAAAAACAGAGTGGCATGAAAATGCTGCATAGTTCTGTAGCTCTGCCTTCCACCCAGAACGTTCATTCCACCAGCCTCAGCTCTATGAGCTGGAGGACCCTGCCTACATTACTGCACCTCCATTTTTCCCATGAAGATGCAAATAACATCAGATTAATACTAACAGCTGATGTGGTTTTCTTCAGCTTCCTAACTGGCAGTAATTTGAGGGCACCTTCTATCCAGTTTCTGCTTAAGAGGAAAAGTGCAAAGGAAAAGGCAAGTGCCACAGAGCTCCCAGCTGGGGACCACTGCCAGTTCTAAAAGGCAGCAGAGGCTGCTCTGTCCCAGTAATAAAAGAGCTGAATTATCCTAGATAATAAAAAAATGAAGCAGCTGGGTGGCACACAAACTTCTGAGCTAACTCAGCAGCACGAGAGCCCCTATCAGACACTCCCTCAACTTCCTAATATTTTTCAGTATTTTGCTGAATTGCTTTAGGCACTTGGGCAACAGGTCTCCAGAGAACAGAGTCCACACTAAGGAACAAAATACTTTAAAACCTGGGCTTACAAGCTGGAACATCTTCTAGAAAACAATTTTCTCTCTGTTTATCATCACTGTGTGCTGAGACTGGTACCTCTTTTGTGTTAACTGGCAGCTCTGAAGCGAGATTCATCCAGAGAACAGCTGCAGTGTTGTTCCCCAGGTCCCTGTAACACTGCAACAAAAATGACAATGTGAGAACAGGGGAAAATAGGCAGCAAATGTAACTGAGCAATTATGGACCCTGGCAACCAGTCACAAGAGCCTCTTTCTACCTCTTAACCAGTGGCACTGTACAGTTTCAGGCTTCTGACACTTCCTGCAGTATCCTTCATTCACAAAGCATTATAATCACCATCAGATTATGAAATGCCACATTTCCTTCTTTTTTTGTTTTGGGTACAGAGATTGGTTTTTCATCTGGAGATTTTAAGGAGTCCCTGTGTTTTTCACCATTTTTGAAGCTCTGTTTTGATTTCCACTTAACCACTATTCCTGACACCACTTTCACTGTGAAACCCCTACACCAGGAGCACATCATCTCAAGGAGCTGACAGTCCCTAGGCTGCTAAAAAATGAAGTTCAGCTGCAAGCACCATCACATCTAACACCTACAGGCCTCACACCAGGTGTGAAATATTCCTCACTGTGTACTCCTCTCCAGAGAAACAGTCACCCCTCTGTGGAACAGGAAGGTTTCTGTGCCTAGAGAGTCATGGAGGCATTTGGGGACTATGAAGTAAGCATGGTAAAAGGAAGTGGTTGCTAAAAACACCCGTCAGCAATGCAATTAATCACTGCTGTCACTGCCATAAAGAGCCAACATTCAGTGAGGATAAGGGTAAGAGTGAAACTCCTGCAGGGCTGTCACTCCAGACACTGAAATGTCACAGCACAGTCGGTGCATGGGTGTATTTTGGTGACTTTCCTGCGTCGTGGGATCGTTCTGGGAGAGAACTGTCTGTTCTGCTGTGAGCACTGTCAGATTTCTGCATCTGCTGAATTCAAAATAGATGGAGTCATGGACATCCTTGAAGCCTTTAAAAACTCTGTGTCCCTGCATATCAATCAAAAATGTTGGAAGATGACTCTAAACCACTTTTTTTTTCTTTGACGTTTGAGCCATTAGAGCACTAGATCCTTCAAAACAATTAGACATCAGTTGCACTTTTAAAATCTTGTGATTAAGGATGTGATCCAAAGTGACAGAGCCTGGGATGAGGAAACGAAGCCAAATCAAACAGATCCAAGTGGTCCTATTAACCTCAATGCCAGCTTCTGTCTGCAGGGTATTTCTGAGGCTCAGCCACGTCTCCCAGACGTGTGGTGAACTATTAGCCCAACAAAAACTACTGACCCAACAAAAACTATTGACCCATGCAGATTCCATGCAATGAAACCCAGACTCTTACATCAACGCTAAAAATCTGTTCTGGTTAAGACTTGCAAGGATTTGCTGCTGTAACTTCACTGGAAGTAAGTTCCAAGTCTTCCATTCTCCATACAAGACATTCAGGGGTGATTTTGAGTTGAAATGGATGCTGGCTAGATGGATGAGCAGAGGGAGGAGCAACCAAGAGCTCAGTCAACCTGGTACCCAAGCAGGCAGCAACAGGAGGCTGGCTGGCTGGTGGGCATGCAGCTGTCTGACCTCAGAGACTCGTGACTACAAACACACAGGGAGCTGCAGAACCCCCAGACAAAGCCCAGCTGCTGGAAGGCTACGACACCTCGTGCTGGGTTTTCCTCCTCTGTTTAGTTTCCTTTCACAAGAGGCTCCTTGTGGAATGAATTCTGCACCCAGGTTCCAGTAATAACGTTCTCCAGACCCAGCAGCTCCTACGACTTGCACGCTATCCTCCTGAAGTTCACACTCTCTGGGACATTGGGAATTCAGGAATTTCACAGGGAATGACTACAGCTACTCTCTGCTACACCCACTCTGGCTAATACTTCTAAAGCTACTTGGGCTTTAAATATTTCTAGACTCCAGCTGGAGGCTGTAGGAACTAAGCAGCAATTTTAACATTTAAGAGTTCAAACCCAATTATTCTCTCAATGCAAACAAGAAGTTCTTCAAGCTCCAGCCCCAGGCACTTGGGGTGTTTAATCATTGCTCAAGACTCCCATCTGTACTGGTAAAATACTGATGCACTTTATCCTTTACTTTTCCCCATGATTCTCCTCCAGTATCCACCACACAGGTCCATGGTGGGGTGTTTAAACCTACAGCCTGTGGCTTACAAGTTCCCAGTGCCACTTTATACAGAGTGGCTCTGTTAAAACACAGGAAGGATGCTCCCCACTGGGTGGCTCGAGGCAAAATCCTCCCTGACTTGTACTGCCTCTGCACTGGGTGATTTGGCCTTTTCTAGAAATGGCATCAGCTTATAAAATCTTGCTTCTGCATGGAGTAATTTACAGGTGCTTAGCACTTCACAGCCACAGCTGGGTTTTAATACAAATATTTCTTGTACCAGAAGCATCTGACTGAACTAAAGAAGGTGATGGGTGGCTGCTTACCTTGGCAATGTAGACTCTTCCTGCTTTGGAAAAGCCTGGGCTCAGTTCCTCAACCTGCAAAGAGCAGAGGGGAGGGTGGGATATCAGGACATTAGGACAGCAGACATTAGGACAGGCAAAGGACACAGTCAATGCCTGTATCAGGCCCACTGCAACTCTAAAATAAAATAAATCAAAAAAACCCAAACCAGAACAAGACTAAAGCCCTGCTTTTGTAAACACACAGATCAGTGTCAGGACTCCCCACAGGCTTGCCTGCCTGGGTCAGTAAATCCTCACATGCTCCTGATGTGCCTGTGACTCAGTGAGCAGCGTTCAGGCTCTCACCTCAGTGTTGCGCAGGAAAGGTCAGTAAATCCTCACATGCTCCTGATGTGCCTGTGACTCAGTGAGCAGCGTTCAGGCTCTCACCTAACTGCATTGTTGTGCAGGAAAGGTGAGGGAGGGGAGCTGAGCCCTCAGAAGCTCAGGGCAACTCAGCACCAGCCCGAGGACCTCCTCCAGCACACATCTCTGCACTGTTGTCAACCTCCTTGCCCATTCAGTCTCATCTACTTGGGCTTCTCCTGACTACGGTGGTGCCAAACCTCAGGAATCTTCCCCAAGTTCATCTTCTCCTTCCCAGTTACAAATTCCCAGTTCCCCAGTTACTCAGAGCCCTCTGCCTCTTCCATTCACCTCAGTCACAGTCACCACTCTCCAAGCCACTCTGTTCCCATATGTTCATGCTGTGAGCCCTTGGCTTGACCCACGTCCCATCTGCACTCGAGCTCCCCAGCGTGTCGTACAGACACCCGAGCCCAGACCCCAGAGGAAGCACCAGGAGCACAACACAGAGAATGTTCCTCCTCCTCCTCCTGCTGTCTGGCCTCAGACCTCCTCCAGCCTGTGACTAACCCAGAGCTGCAGTTTGCTGGAAGGTTTCCATTCCCCTGACACGTGCCAAGTGTGGCTGAAAGCTGAAAGGGACTCTGCTGAGCACATGGGACCTGCACTTGTCTGGGGGACACTGAGCTTCCAGAGGGGTTGTTTTGTGCTCTCTTACCATTTTCTCTGTTTGACAAAAGCTTAGAAAAATGTAAGTTTGCATTTCAAACCACAGCTTATCAAAGTGATAAGCTATTTCTCTCTCTAATGAAAAGAAACAAAACACTGACTCAAATATCTCTGAAACGATTTAACCCCTTTGACTGAAAGGTATATTGTCTAGGGCAGACACCTATCACAACTTTCCCCTCAATCAACTACACTTTGGCAAAACTACAAGAAAATGAACCACGTATGATACTCCCTGACACTGCAGAAGTGCTGGCCACGTCTGAGAGTTATAAAGTGGTAGTGGAATCTGTTTCTGTAACACTTCTTCAAAGGTGCTGAAGAGTAGTTCTCCCAGGCACAGCCAAAGAGTCTTCAACTCATTCATCTCGTGCAGACCCTTGCAATAGGAACTATAAGCTCAAAAAAGAGAGGTAGGATTCCCACACTATAGGAAATGCTTCTAAAAATTTCTTTCTAGAAATACATAAGCAATGTGCTCCTGAAACCTTAAAGTAGTTGTCTTCAAACTCTTGGAGAAGTCTGACCTAACCAGACAGCCTTTTAATAAAATACCCTGAGAGAAATTCAACTGTCAGAATTAATCTACACAAGTGTTCCCAGGGATGAGCTCAAACCAATCTCAGAGGCCCTGAAAGCACACAGACCATCTGCATTTAGTATCAAGCAACGAATCACTCCCTTAAAACCACTTCTGAACACTCTGGGTCTAGTTCTGATGTCTTCAAAAATCACATTCTTCTGTCTGGCTACTCCCTAGCAGAGGCTCCACAATTTTTGCTTTCCCCAGCTTTTCTTCCAGGGGTCCTAGCCCATGGAGATGTACCACAGAGCAGCTGGGGAGTGCAGTCTGAGCAGAGTACTGCAGTGTTTGCCAGGGCAGTGACTGCCCAGCCCACGGGAGTTCCTCACCCGTAGGAAGTTCTGCAGCGCGTCCTGCACCGTAGCCGTGGGGGGGGCTTCAAACAAAGCAGAAGCTGTCTTTTTTTCAAGCCATCCCAGATGGGAAACCTGCAGAGAGAGTGAGATGAGGCCATCAGACCTGCTGGAGACAGGGTGTTTCAGAAGTGCAGGGACAAGGAGTGACCCAGCTTCCTGCAGCTCACCCGTGTGCCTGGGAGAAACCCCCAGACTTCAGCAGGGTCAGTGGACTCCGGGTGGGAATCCAAGTCTGGCCACAGAATTAAACCTGATTTGCTTTTCCCTGTCCCAGCCTTATCCTTCAGGACACCTTCTGCAGTTCCACACGTCAGCTGCCACACCCAGAGGACTCAAAGTCACACTTGTCCCTGCAGCTGAACATGCCAGGGGCAGCAGTGTGGGTGGTGCAGAGCCTCAGCCCGCTGGGTCAGAGCCCCACCAGCCCCCACCAGCCCCCACCAGGGCACTGGGGCAGATCCACACGTGGAGCCCTCCCATCTCCCAGCTCCAGTCTCGTACAGTGGGTCACAGCCCCACCAGCCCCTGGCAGCCCCCACCAGCTCCCACCCGGGCACTGGGGCAGATCCACATGTGGAGCCCTCCCATCTCCCAGCTCCAGTCTCGTACAGGAATGAGCTCTCCCCATACCAAGAACCCTCAAGAGAGGCAAGCCAAGGCCTTCCCACCAACACAGTGTCACATTTTGAGAAATAGGTGGCTATCATAATTATTTAATGAAATTTCTCCTCCTCCCAACTCCTCTCTCTCAAATAAGAAATATCCTGAAATTCCAGTGAGGGAAAGGATGCACAGGACTAACTTCTGCTAATATCTTGTTTGATACTGTACAGTCCTTACACTGCAGAACAGCAGAAGCCCAAACACATTTCTGCACACATCTGGATTTGTTTCACAGCCTCAGCAGCTCCAAGAGCAGTAAGGTTGAGTGGAAAGCCCACGACAGATTAAAGCACTGGAAGCTTCCCCTAGTTCAGCTCCTCTGTAATTACCAGTGTCAATCATCTCAGCTCCCATCTCTGCAATGTGGCTTCAGCTGAAACAGCAGCAAAGTGCTCTCAAATTGTATAAACTGAGAAGTAGATAGTTACTGCACGCTCTTTTTATAGGCACTAAATCTGATTTATGGTATTTGACTCTGAGCTTTTCCCTGTCAGGAACCACGGAGCAGCCGGCACGCTTCTGCCAGTGCCTCTGACACTTGGTGTGACAAGGGCAGAGGAAACACATGCAAAGCATTAGACAGATACACTGTGTGCAGAAGCTCTTGCCAGCCCTGAAATGTCCTTGATCACATCCATATGTGCTTAAAGGACTGAAGGTAGCTTGTTTTTACTGAGCAAGGCATGGGGAGCAGTGAGCTAGTTTGCAGCTAGTGCTCTTCCTCATTCATTCTTTGCCATTTCGCCTCCCGTGCTGCCTGCAGTGACTGAAAAGCCCTCTGGAGCTCCAGCTCAGAGCAGTTCAGAAACAACACTTTGAGCCAACAGGTTCCCTCTGGGAAAGGGCCAAAAAAACAGGAAAAAAAAAAGACAACCAGAATAGTGGCAATAACTAAATGAAACAGCAAAACCCCTGGAGCTTTTACTCCACTGCCTGGAGGTACACCAAGCACTGTTAAAGCCTTCTGCCTTGGGCACAGAAGTATTACAGCAGCAGGAGCAAAGGGCATTGCCAACACAAAACTGCACTCCTCACACTTCTGAGAACTCCAGCATGTCTTCACTGTCACAAACCTTTCTCCACCTTCTTCTGGCCTTCAGCTGCTTGCAGAGAGCAGCTCAGCGCTGTGTCCCCCTTCCTCGCCGTGGGGGACCTGAGCCCACCTGAATCCTCATTAAAGACCCAACTATTTAATCCCTAGTGCTGCGAGTGGCAGCCCCAGCAGGAGGGGACACACTCCAGGCTCCACAGGAGGCAGATGGGCTGCCCAAGAGCCCTTGGCTCCAGATAAGAGAACACAGAAAGCTGAGAGATCCTCAAGGATGCTGTGCCCTGGCAGACAATAATTTCAATAATGCTTTTATAAAAGCATTGAGGTGCTACATGTACAAGAACATGAGTTTTTACATCATAAGAGGTTTCTGAATGCAATGCATCTACAGTATTCATTAGTGGAGTGTTTTTCTCAGCAGTGTTTCAGGACTGAAATGAGATGTTTCTAGATCCCACGCAACTGCAACTTTAAAACTGCTTCTTCAAGCCACCAGGACATTTCCTTTCCCTTACTTTGAAACAATACCTGAGTTCAGCAGCTAAAGAGTGTCTTCAGTCCCCATGGCTGGGGGTTTGAAGCCACCTGTCTTCCATTCAAACAGGGAATAAAGTTCCAAGGAGGAAGAGAACAGCACTAGGCAGCAATGGCCTGTTTTACCTGGTAGCACCACCTCCCCAGGAGATAGTAAGACTGCGGATCCTCTGGTTTCAGCTCAATTGCTTTATCAATGTGCTCCTGTGGAGAATCATCACCAGCACACGTTACATTTTTGTTTTAAGCAAATACAAGGTCCACAAGAACAGGTGAATGAAGGTGGAAAGAGGAAGGGAAGAAGTCCACAATTTAAGTGTCAGTGACCAGTGAAGTTATAGCTACAGAGAGATTCACAATTTTCTTAAAATGGTTTCAGTGAAGACACAAAACTAGCATTTTATCAGCCTTAGCAATGAGAATTATTACACACAAATAACCCAAAGTTGCCCTTCATTTTATCCTACCACCTTTTCAGAGCTTGGACATAACCAAATTAGGGGCTGTGTCCATAGCTGACGAGGTTCTGATTATACATGGCCAGCCCTGCAGTGACCACGCCAGGGGCATCCCTCCCCCTGTAACACCTCTGCTGTGCAGGGAAGGCAAATAAAGCATCTGAGGCAGATTAAATCCTCTGTGAAAAATAACTGCTTTGCATTTAAGGGAGGGTGCAAGCATGCTCACATGCTCACAGGCACTTACTGAAAGAAGCTGGTGCTGTGTTGTATTACCACATGGTAATTTCATGTTTCCAGTTCTCAGTCTCACCATATACATAATTTTTACTTGCAAGACTTTTCTTCTTTTTTTTGTCTGAGATTATAGGATGCAAAAATGCAGAGCCAGACCAGTCCCCCTCACCACACACTGCTGGAATCACTTTCCTCAGCCCAAACCACCCACGCATCACATCTTCTTGAGATTATCACTTGAGTTTCCCTAAATTTCAGGACTAAGTGTTGTTCAGTACTCAGACAAAGCCCAGCACGTCCTCTCCACTCACCTTGAAGAGGTGCCCGGTCTGGATGCGCCTCTGGATGCTCTCCTGCTCAGCCAGCTGCCCACACAGGATGGCAAACCTGCACAGAGAGACCCTGCCTGAGACCCAGCCCCAGCACCTCTGCTCCCCAGAGCCACGCCAGAGGGAGGAGATCTACATCCAGGAAAGATCCACAGCTCCCCGGGGCAGGCAGGGAACGCTGCACATCTGACACGGGAGACACACACAGTAAGAACTGAGTGCAGGGGAAGGTGCCAGCTTGGAGGACACCAGCAGGAGTGGCTTTGATGCAACTCCAAGCACAGGGCAGTGTTGGCTGGGAAGCCCTCCTCCTACACCAGCACTTCCATGCCCTGAAGTCCTTCACTCAGCACAAAACTGTGTCAAAACACAGAGGAATGAGGAGTGGATGCTACTGCAGCGAGAGCCAGCACTACAAAAAGCTCTAAGGTGCACAGGGATGTTCCATGTGCAACACCCAGCCTAGAGCACAGCAGCTGCCTACCTGCAGGGGAGAGACTGTGAAGACCTACCTATGTCCTGCAGCCCCACAGCCACTGGACTTGGGAAACAAAATAACACATTTTCAGTATTGCAAGTGCAAAGCCATTGGGTTCTGCCTGGTCAGAGAGCAGGAATTCTGACCCCGAGACACACAGCACCTAGCAAAGTCAGTTATTTCATCAACTGTGAAAGTCAAGGGAGGTTAACCACCCATGGATCTGCAACCCCCATCTCACCTCAAGCCCACCCCTCCCTGCACTGCCTCCCAAGGAACAACAACTGGCAGAGGGGAGCAGGGGCCCTGCTGCTCAGCAGAAGATTGGACGTGAAGCTTCAGCAGTGCTGATCCCATCTTTGGCCTCTGCCATCCCGCTGGGGTGAGGGCTGGGGCAGTGGCAGAGGCTCCCCCTCTTCTCTGGTTGGCTCAAAAAAACATTAGTAGGAACAGATGGTCCAAGGACCAACACAGGTCTTGCTCTTTCAGGAAACTGAGGCTGAAAAGGAGACACAAGCCAGGCTCCCCTGAGAGCCCTGGCTGCTCTGCCTCAGCTCTCCACAGGGGTCCCAACCCATCCCTGGTGGTGGCTAAGCACAGCAGATGTTCCTGCAGGAGGCTGTCAGGAGGCTGGTGAATCTCCAAGCACACTTCCCTCAGCATCACGAAAACAACCCACAAGACATTTCACACCTCATGGTGCTTGCCTGAGCACATTCCTAACACAGCAGTTCCAACACCAAGAAGCCAAGCCTCCTGGGCATTTAAATGTTTGTAATTAAATCTCATCCCTCTGACATGTTCGTTTTCTTGTGAAAAAACTCTGGTTCAGTTCTAAAATTCTTATTTTTTTCATGATAATGGAAAAAATTACCAGCTCCATGTCTTTGTCAGGTGAACCCTCTTCCCCCAGCTGAAGCACTGCCCCACTCCAGCACATGCAGAGCACAGACTCTGTGCTTTTATGATCTTCTCCAGTTTGTTTTACAACCACCATCAGCCTGTGCTAAACAGCCCTAACCACAACATGACCAGGGTTTAGAAATACAAGCCAATAAAAGGCTTATTTTCAAAGATCATAAAATATTCCTAGATAATAAATCAAGTAGTCTGTAGTCTAATGAACTTGCCAGAATACAGCTCCTGTAACCATATTGTTTAAGCTCCCAAACACACAGGGAAGCACTAAGTACAGTCAGGTGAAGTTTCAGGGTTTGCCTCAAACCAGGGACACACGGTGCCTTTTTTAAAAGAATGCTGCAGAACCTTTCTGCTACTCTGTCCTCCCCCAGGAGGGGCAACAAGTCCCTTCAAAGCAGGGATAAATCCCCCAGGACACTAAAGTGGCTCCTCCTGATCCCTCCACCAACCACCAGAGAACTGTCAAGTGGTGCAAGACACAGCTGCCAAGGAACAGAAACAGCAGATATTTAACTGCCTGGTGAAACGTTACACACTGTAAGCAGTAAACAGCAATCCTAACTTGGTGTCATGAAATACATTTAAAAATAAATGTAAGAGATGCTTAAACTGTCTTTTCCCTGCAGTGCCAGGGAAGGGACCCCACCCGACCCAGCTCTGCTGCTCTCTGCCCTTCCCATGAACCCTCCTCTTTAACGTGTTCCTGAGGTCCAGGGCCACCAGCCTGCTAGTGCTGAGATCCTTCAGCTCTGGAGATCTTCAGATCCCAATCCCCCTTCCCTTCCTCACTGCCTCTGCTCCTCTCCTGCTTGTTTGCTTGGCTGGTGGAGCTGTTCCCATGTGGTTTGGGAAAGGCCTCGGGCCGCCGCGGGGGCAGGACTGACCACCAGCAACAGGGCACATCAGAGCTACTGAGCCAAGGAAGGGGATTTTCATCTTCTGTAAACAACGTGTAACCCCTGAAACAGGGTTCAGATCGATGGCTCAGCAGTTACTGAAACCTTGTATTATCCTCTCACTCAGCTAATTAGTAACCAGAACTCCTCATTAAGCTGCTGACACTGGTCAAGCCGCTGGTTCCCATCGGAATCTCAGCTCAGTGAGGGTTTCCCCTTCACTGGAAAATAAACTCTGTGGAAGCAGACCCAGGCAGATGAGAGACCATCTGCTCCCCCAGCTGAACCCCCAGCTCAGAGCGGGCAGCTTTGCAGGCTCTCCACTCTGGGTGCTGCACTCTGGCTGGCTCCCACCAAAGCAGGACCTTGGCCTCACACACAGCTCTGCAGGGGCCAGCCTGCTCTGCCAACCCAAACACAGCTCTCATCTCTTGTAGCTGTTCCAGAGCCTCACTGGCTGAGCATGCTGGTGCTCCTGTCTGCTAAGGATCAATACATTAAAAAGAAATGGTGCAGCAAAGCACTGGGCATAAAGGAGGGGAAAGGGGAATAAAGGGGAATAAAAGGAGAGGGGAAGGAATTGAGGAGAAGCAGCAATTCTGCAGGCAGCTGATAAAAGCAAAACAGAGTGTGGTTTATATTGCTGCAGATGAGTGAAACAGGAAAGTCTGACCACTGACAACAGCACAAGGATGTGAAAGTTCTTCCCTTTTATTGACACCAAAATTTGCTTCGTACGTTAATGAACTTATTTTTATTTGTAATGCCCAAACTAATGAGCTAGAATATATTCCTGTTCAGTCAGCATCAGCTGTGAACTGAACACATCACAGCCAGCCTGTAAAAATTGCTCAGTGCCTTTCAAGCAGCACTGCTAGTAAATTGAGAGAGTTTTTATCACATGCACACAAGGAGATAAAAATCCTTCTTAGAGCTCAACTTTCAGTTACCAGAGTTGGATAAAATCCAGAAGAATGGAACCCTTTCTAATCAAGTAGATAGTCCAGAGAAACAGGGCTCCAAAATACACATCTTGATGAAGAATTCAAAAGTTTTGCCAATATTTGCTGAGTATCACCAGTTTCTGGTGTTGCTGTGCACTGAGCAGGCCTGTGTTAGCCTCTCCATTCAGTAAGGGAAGGACAGGGACAACTGATGTGTGGGTATTTACACTGCACTGAAACTCCAGCTAAGCTGCAGTAATCCCCATCTGGATCCCCTCAGCAGCACTGTACTCCAGTGGCACAACCAGATGCCCCTTCCTCACACCTGTGAACACCCATATGGAGAGAATTATACTACCCATAAGGGTGAGAATTCATCCAGAGCCTTGCTGGCTTGGTGTAGGAGACAAGAGAGCAAGCTGAGGCCTAAAAAAGCCAAGATTTATGCAGTGATGGCAAATCTGTGTGCATGGAGTAGCTGAAAAGGGTACTCCACAGTGCTGACATGTATGCAGGAGATTTCAGCACAATAAATCCTGTTCTGGACTAAAGCCACACTGGTTTTCTGCTGTCACAGTCTCGATTTTTGAGGGGGATTAAAGTTCTATAAATGTATTTTCACACCAAGGGATCACATCAAAACCTGAAGTGATGAACATTGGCTCCATCCCTGTGCTGACTCAGACTCTTCAGGATGGTTTCCACCACCCCTTTAACAACACTGCCTTTAATAAATTCTGAAAGTTGGCCACTGCCCAAAGAGTTTTGAGGCAACAAATGTTTTTGCCTCCAAATGATCCACACAGGTCACCCTGTGTGTCATTCACAACTTTCTGAATCATTAATTGGGGAAAATGAAGCCCTCTTTGCATGCACCTGCAATTACTGCTGCACAGGGCTTGCTGCTAGAGCTGAGCAGTGCTCCATCCACCCAGGCTGTGCTTCAGCTCTCCTCCAGAAACCTGACATTTCCTCACAGAGGGAAATTCCACTCTGCACATCCATGTCCCCAACTGCCAGAGAGAGTGAGTAGGTGAGTCCCTGTGGACACAGCAAGCTCCCTTTACACACCCCCAAGCCCCTCACTCCAGAAGGAGCAATAGTGGTGCTCATCTCCCCTGCATTGCCTCCTGCTCCATGATCCACCCCAGATCTCCTTGATCACTCACACACTACCTGCAGCGTTGCTTACACAGCCTGAACCAGTGGCCCAAGAGCACAGATCATCTTGGGTATGTCCTCTTAAGGCTCTGTCCTTAAACTTAAAACCCAAGCCCCACAAAAGAAAACACTGTGTGGGAGACTCTGCAGCCATTCCTCCTCTGAAGTCTTGCTGAGGACTGTCCTACAGGCAGACCTGGCAGCAGACTTGGTCTTACACCATTAATTAAAGCTTTGACAGGTCACAACCCACCTGAGCTGCAGGAATTCCGTGGAAAAGGTGTCAACAGAAATATTCTAGAAGAGAGCTCTTGGTCTTGCTTGGCATTGCTCTGACTGGGGCCACTGAACACCAAACCCACCCAGCCTCTCTGCACTGGCCAGGACAAGATACCCAGGAGGAAACAAAGCCCTGCCACACCTAGCACAGTCTCACTGTTCCTGGCAGACCCTTTGATGAATCCTGAGAACACTCTGTCAGGTGAAAGCAGCAATGCTGGATGAACCAGAGATCCCCTGATCCACCAGCCTGTTTGTGTGTGCCTCTGGAAGCAGCTGGAAACCAGGAAAGGTGCAGAGACATTTACGGGAAGCTGGGACAGCAACTGGCTGTCACCAAGGGTTTAACAGGGAACCTGAGGGGCAGCTCCCTGTCTTC